TATACGTTTTCAAGATGACCACACTTTTTTTCGTATTATTAGGATAGAGCTAAGGGTTTTGCCTCCTTAGATCATTTGAACAGTTAAACGTCCCAAACAGGCTACGTATTTATATATAATTAAGAAAAAAAAATACTTGTTATACTTCAAACTATACTCAAATCCATTACCTTTCGGCAACGAATTTGTTACTGAACCTAATAAACTATTACGCCTTCATAGAAAAATGTGCAGTTCTTTTATTTATAATAAAGATATATAAATGTGAAGCATGTTATTGTTTACCTTGAATAAAAACATTAAATATGAGTCTATATGGTGATCTTTAATATTTCAACATATATTTATTGGAAAGCGAAATGCTAGTCGGGTTTCATAGAAGTAAAGATAATTATAGTATATATATTTTTCTCGTACAAGAGTTCAGGGTACTCTCACAATGCTATATCTTTTAAAATATTTTTATTTATTAAAATTCTTGATTAACAGATTTTCTATCTAGCAGTGAATGGCTAAATGCTGTGCTATGAGAATTGGCTGTTAATATTCAGAAGTGCTTACATGTAATTTTAAAGAAGATGTTACGCGTTTGAATTTTCACCAGTTCACTATATATCTTATGACATCTTGATATGATGCACTTTTATATTATATTCCTTGATACACTCTTTAGATCTGTTTCTCATCTTTATTTAAAAATTGATAACCTCTTAACATATAGATTTAATCTTAATTCTAATGAACGTAGATTAGCTAAGGAGATTCTCCAGGTACATCACAGCATTTTTGAAAACTTTAAGCATTAGGTACAACAAAACGGATGTGCTAATTTTCGACTTTTATTTGGGGGGGGGGGGTAAAACGATGGAAACTATCGTTTGGATAATCGGCTCTCGTAAGTGAGTGAGTGAATATTAACGTCGCACTGTTCAGCAACACGAAGGCTTTTGGTGACGGACGTAATTTTGAACCATGGTCAAGTGACGAGGACGACCTGAGCTGGCACCTTCCTCCCCTCTCGTAAGAAAGAATATTAGAGAGAAATTATGTTTTAGAGTCTTTTTTGTAAAGAATTTTGCCTGTTGTGCATATACCAGTTGTTACCAAAGTGGTCCCTACGGTCCCCAAGGGGTCCCCGATATTATTCAGGGGTCCGTGGAAAATTAAAATTGATTTGTGGGTCCCTGAACAATGTCAGGAGGTCTGAAAAAGGTTTAAAAAATAAAAACGTTTCAATCATGTTATTTTTGTGAAAATTTAAATAAATAACAATAATTTAAATAGATTTTCCTGACTGGGTATTGAACCCTTTTGCGCGTGGGCAAACTCAGATCTCAAACACAGATGAGTCTCTTGTAATACAGGAGCATCTTATTGAAATATCCACAAATGAGGGTCTTAAACTAATGTTTGAACAAGGATACAACACATTCTGATTACAAAAACAGATCCTAATTTTATACCCTGTATTATGGGATATTGTACGGAAATTGTTGACTACTTTCCCCACTTCCAATTTGGTAGAACGTGGATTCAGTGCCGTAAAAATCTCACCACACAAAAAATGAAACCGGTTAAAAACTAGAGCTTTTGGAGATTTGCGGTTGCTACTCACAAACATTGAGACGGACATATAACACTCATAACATCTCATCAAGTTCATAGTACAAGTAATTAACTTTTTTATTTTATTTTAAACATAGTACTAATTTCAGTAAATAATTCTTTGACAAAATGTTATTTCAAATTTATAATTTTTACACTATGCATTTATGTGGCTTTTTCACTTGGGGGTCCTTGGGAAAGTTTTGATTATAAAAAGGGGTCCGTTGGTAAGTTATGACTTTAAAAAGGGGTCCGTGAACAAGTTTTGACTATAAAAAGAGGTCCATGGGTTAAAGAAGTTTGGGAACTTTTGCTTTATAAGTATATGCAATTCCAATTCTGTGAAAGTTTATAATAGATATATAATTTAAACTAAATATTATTATTATAACAATAATATGTGTGAGGCACATATACCAAAAATATTAATTTTTTTCAATTACTTAAATATTAATATCATTAATTAGTTACTGAAAAATATGCACAGGAAATAGTGATAAGAATGTAAAAACAATGTTAATGAAGTTACGCGTAGGAAGTATTTTTTTAATCAAATTTTGTACAATTGTAATTTTAATCATTATGGTCATTACAAAATTATTTTAAAAATTTTGAACTGGACTGTGTGCGCGCGTGTGTTAGCTCTCACATATTTTCTCCCAGAAAAAAGTTGCTACGATAAAATATTAGCTATATCTACAAAGATTAGATGCAACAAAAAGTAGAATATGCGAGAATATATGTGTGATATGTGTTTTTGAAGATATATGAGAGCATAAATATCTGAGAGAAAAACAGTTTACTATTTGCTTGTGTTAGGGTTCCAGATAGCTCGTCAATGTTACTAATATGTATATAAGTGGTAAGTGAAAGCATAACTATCGTGAACCCTCATTAATACGGACCCCAATAAACGGGTCATCCACTAAAAAATATTCAAAATTAATACTCGCCATTAAAAGTCTAAGCTCTACTTAGTTTCTTTAATCCAATTAATAGCATGTAAATAATGCATTTTAATTTGAATTCTTTCCGCCATTTGCTATATTGCTCACTTTGTCATACATATATAGTTACAGTTTCACTTATCGTTGTTCATTTCTTTCGATAGAAGTAAATAATTGTTCTATTTTTTCGATTCAATCAATCCTGAACTATAATATGCAGGGTGTCCCAAAAATAGGGTCCAAACTCTGCGCAACCAGATTCCTCATTGTAAGCACATAAAAAATGCTCAAAGTACTGAACCTGTACGATCCATAGTTTAAGAGAAAAATACGAAAAACAAAATATGACGTTACAGCCATATTAGACACATCAACAGTAGTATTTGCAAATGTTTATAACGACAGATGTTTAAAGTATCCACCTCGTATATCGAAGAAGATTTGAGCGTGACGTGAAATGAATGAGTGTATACGTCACAGCAGTGCGGTCTCCACCAAAGTACAAGTAGCACGCAGACCCACAACTAAGTCCTTTTAAATAGTCACTACGTCCGCATACACCAATTCTTTGAGAATACCTCATAGGTAAAAAATTCAATGGTATAAGATCTGGTAATAACGGGGGTCATAGAGCTGGACCCCCACGTCCATTTCAGCGACTGGAGCAGGCCATATATCCAGCCAATCACGTACAGAAGTACAAATATGCTCCGGAAGCCCATCATTCGATCATCACCATACATTTTAATTTATCGTATTTTTCTTGTAAACTTTAGATAGTATAGGTACAGCTCCTTTGGGAATTTTTTATGTACTCACAACGAGAAGTCTGACTGTGCAGAGACGCTTTTTTTGGGACCCTCTGTATGAATAAGATACTCAAAAGTGTAATTTAAATATTTAATTATATATACATTATACCTATTTACATTAATTTATTTTCCAAAGTTAATCGCAGTTATTTATTGGAGTTAATACCCTTTGCTTAGCCTTTTGCATTTCCTGTAGAGAATCTAATTTAAAGTCATAAAAATTCGTACCTATTAAAATGCCTAATCTTATCAACTCTGCCATGTATACAATTAACGTTGAAGTAGTAAGTCTCGTGTAGTTTCCGAGTCATTGTCTTAAAGAAAAATGACCACATTTAAAAATTTTAAACCACACAAACCACCGCTTCTTCTCTGCATATCCTGTGCAATAATATGTAACTTATACTATAAATTATAATTAGTTTGTACTTCTCTTCGCTAAATTATGTAAGGAGGATGCGTATAACTAATCAAAACCGCGACAGATATACGCTTTAAAGAAAATCAACACTCTAAGAAGTTCAAATGTATTCTTCTCTTAGCTATGTATTTCCCTTTAAAAAACTACTAAAAGGATTCCTGTGGAGTTTCTTTTTTGATAATTCTTTCCCAATCTCAACATTTTTAAAAATATCTTAAAAGTAACAAAAATTGTAAATGTCGCGGCTCAGCAGCTTTAAGTAGGAAATTGAACAAAAGTCGCTTTTGTTGATAGGTTAAACAAAGACAGAGAAACTTTCAAAAATTAGAGGTGGGGATTGCTTTGAAGTCAACTTCTTTATATGTTAATGTACCCGAGCTAATTGTTGTCGAGGTTAAAGAATCCCAAGTTTCCGCATTGAAAAGCGGATGTACCCGAGGCATCTATTTACTTGTCAATTTTCGCTTTCTTTTTTCGTTTTCTTTCTTGGAAATAGGTTTTAAACAAAGGCTTTTCAGAAACACACATCATTATCCTTTCAGAGCGAATGTGACGCAAATCAGGAGGTGCAATGAATATTCTTTGGGAAATAATATATTTCTAGGCAACATAAGTATATACAGAAAAAGAATAAATAAATATATATTTATTTGTATCTCTCTCTCTCTATGTATATTTGTATCTGTGTGAGTGTACACTGTGATATTGCGCGCACACACATATATATGCTTACACTTTTTCTTCAGTCTTCCTTGTCAATGATCTTTTTATTTTGCAAAGAGAAAAGAAGGTGTTTTTGTTTCTTCTTAGTTAATCATCCAATATCAAAAATGGAATGTATAAAAAAATATCAGAGAAACTAAATCAAAGAAAAGTAATACCTTGTGCACTGTCTATATCATCACCGTCGTGACGATATAAATTTATAACAATTTTTGAAAATTTCTCATTTTTCCTCTTTTTTCAATTTTTACTATTAGTTCACACTATACCTATATATATATATATCTTGTTCAAATTTTCAAAGGTTAATAAAACACTTTTTATTTATCTACTCAAGTTCAAATACATTTTTTAAAACTTGTAGTGGATGACCATTAATGTTACTACAGTTTTTTCAAGTAATAATTCATCAATTTTTTAATTATTCTATAAATAGTAACAAACAAAAATACTAGTCCAATATCATATACAAAAGGGAAGATCGCTCGTAATGTCCCTGTAGCGCAATGGATAGCGCTTTGGAGTTCTAATCCAATGGTCTTGGGCTAAATTGCCACCTGGAATAGCCCAATTTCTGAGAATGGGAATTCTTTTTTACTATTCTATTTTATTAGAATAATTAAATTTAATGAATGAATAAATAGTAACAAACAAAAATAATAGTCCAACACCATATATAGAAAGGAAAATGGATAATTTCAAGGAAAATCGATTTCTGTTTTGCTACTTAATATTCTGATTCTGTCATACGTAAATACATATTTATATTAATTGTAGTTATTTAATAAAAATTAACCAAAATAAAGTTTTTCTCTTTGTTAACTTAAGGAGGAATTGACATTAAAATTTTTTATATTACTTATTTATTAGATAAATCAGTAAATTCATGGTTTTATACAATTCTGTCATCTCCATAATAACAGTTAAATACTATAAAATTAAGTAAAATATGTCACTGATGGAGTAAATTTCTATTCTTTATTTTTCAAATCGTTAGAACTAAGAAATCTGATTGAAAACAGGAAATACGAAGTGCTTTCAAATTCGATATTCTATTGCAGTGGGTCTTCAAACTTTTTCGACTCACGGAACCGTCAGAACTTTAAAGTAATTTTGGAAACCCCATTTCACACACACTTGGAAGGTATACTCGTACCTTAAAATAATATTTAAAGTAGATCAACATGTTATTGGAACTTTATTCAAAGAAATTTTGAAAAATATTGAATTTGTTATTAAAATTTTTTAATAATTTCAATATAACTTGCTCATTAAATTTGATATAATTTTCATCAAATTTTTCCTAAAATGCCTCATTTTAATAAATTTACATTATCATATAAATTCTCTGTTGGTGTTTCCCATTAATTTAAGTCATAAGCTTAAAAAAAATAGCAAAAAATTACTAATCACTTGGCAACTTGGAAAACTTGTCTCCGTACGTAGGCAAATACCTTAATAATATTAATTTATGATCCAACTGTCACCTACCCATGCATTATATTTAATAACTCTGGGAAATGAGTACATTTTTTACACACACTGTCCAAGTCTAGGTCTATTAAATTTATCCAGTCGATTTCATTTATTTTTATATTTTGTTTTCATAGCCACTACGTTGAGAAATATTTTTCACTTAAATATACTGTTCTGTATGGCAGTAAAATATTTATAGCTGTGTGTATTTTGCCTGAACATGCAATCTAAAATTTAGGCCCTGTTCTTACTTAAATTTAGATTTAATGTCGAACTTGTATATATGTCGATAAGCTCTTCCCTCTAATTCATTATGGGTGTTTTTTTTCCACAAATGAAAAAAAAAACGTGCATTTTCTATTAGAAAACCATTTAGTTTTGCAAAAGATTGTACTAACGAATATAAAATTATTTCGTAGATCACCTGATAGTAAATAAGAGAATATTCCCTGTCAAGGTAGGTAAGTATTTATTAAGAAAAACGTCTTAATATTCTTTTATTTAAATTACAATAAAAGTTGAAAAAGTACTACAAAATAAAGTTATTATGCATAAATAAAAAAAAAATTTCAGTGTTTTGATGACTGGAATGAAACTTTGATACTTGTAGTCACAAAAACTTTTTAGAGAACGTCAATCTATTTTGATTCGCATTTATAGTCTCCTTTCGACTTTTTATTGTGACTCGTGGAACCCCTGGGTATGCCCCGTGGAACACAGTTCAAAGACTACTGCTTTAGAGCATGAAGAAAAGAGTCTCTTAGGTTTGCCTGGTAACAGTAGAGGAATCTTGGATCTTTCAATATTATCCAGAGATCAAAGTGATAAACAAGGATTGGAAGCACGACTCATCTCTCATCCACTAGAAAGCTTATAGTTTTGTGTGACTTTCTTACCTTTGTTCAACGCTACCTCTGATGTTTCTTCTTCATTTAAACTAGGGGTGGGCAGACTTTTCCAGGGTAAGGGCTACTTCTAATGTTTTTAAGGTATTGCGGTCCACCCAGTGACGTAGGTGTGGCCATTCTGTATTAAAATTGCATGCTTTCTCTTTTTAATACTTGTTTTAGACATTGTACCCCTCTATTAAAATATGACAACACTATTTTTAGTACAATAACTCAAGCAACACAAGATTGTCAAGTTGAATGCTTGAGAAACTATGGGCGACTACTAGACCGTGGAGGTATTCAATGCAGTGAGCAGAGAAGATACGTGAATCGATTAATCTGAAACCGATGTATGTACTTAAGTTGATCTCTACCAAGTCCGGGGAACATGAAATCAACACTAGAACCCAATCCCGTGAGAGCGCGGGAAGAGCTGAACATCAACATTTGTTCTCCCCTTCAGTCGGCGAGTTGGGAATTTTCCCCCTACAGTAGAAGTGAACGCGCTAAGGGTCATTGTTTGCTTCTAATTAAGGTACATGCGTCGTCTAGATATTTATTGAATCATTTGCTTAAGCAAACACAATTGCATCGATTGTGAAAAGACGATTCTAAAATCTAACTGGCATCAGTGTTTTATAAATAGGTTTCTTTTAGTAAGCGTGTCTTAGTAAAGGCGGTCACCCCAAAATGTCTTGGCGGCCCACCGGTCGATCGCGATCGACTTAATGCCCATTCCGGATTTAAACTATAGGTCAAATTGTTAAAACATTTTTTTCTTTTATATTATGCAATATTATATAGATAAAATCAAATAAAATACTGAATATAATAAGGGATTGAACTGTTCACTAATTCAAAAATGACTTAAAATCAGGACATCTCGATTCAAATGACTTTAAAACTAGCTCTAGGATAAGACAGAAATCTACAACGGCAGCTTGTTTTTCACAAAACGTATAACAGGATAACCACTTTTTAAAAAATAAATTATGTGTGGCAGAAGATTATAATTATATAATATAGGAAAAAAATTACAACGATTGATGGAATTCTTGAACGAATTTTCACCTCTATCTCCCGTTTTATTAAAAGCAGATTATTAATCTCCTGAAAATAATGCTGCGCAGTACAGGCTTAAGTGCACTGTTTCAATGTTTTAATTAATAACTTTTTAGACGTTTCTCGTACGAACAAAGAACACTTCGTCGTAATAGAAGTCCCGTAGAGTCCACAGGGGATTGTAGTTAGTGACTATCGAAACCAATGCGTCTCATATCCATTTTTGTTATACACTCAAGAGCCAAAACATTATGACCACCCCTACATTTTGCAATGAACTCGCATGGATGACGTGGAAGGCACGTGATCAGGTGGAAGTGGTATTTAACTGCTGCTGGAGAGTCTGAAGAATCATTCTCTCACTTACTTCTGTGTGTGATGGGAAAGGCTGCGGATCTAAGCGACTTTGATAGAGGGCAGATTGTGTAATGGCTCGAAGGCTCGGAACAAGTATTTCCGAAACTGCAGGACTCGTGGGTTGTTCGCGATCTACAGTTGTTAGTACTTATGCAAAGTGGATGAATGACGGTGAAACCAGCAGTAAACGACATGGTGTTGGACGTCCACACGCTATCAAAGAAAAAGGTCGTCGGAGACTGTCTCGCATGGTGAAGCAAAGCTGGAGCCAGACAGTGACTCAGCTGACAGCCCAATACAATGCAGGGCCAAGTCGAATAGTATCGGAGCACACTGTTCAGCTTACATTGTTGGATATGAGGCTACGCAGCAAACGTCCCACTCGTGTGCCTTTGCTGACGCGTCATCGCCAACTGCGCTGGGCCCGGGAACATCGTGACTGGTCCATGGATCAGTGGGAGAGAGTTGCTTGGTTAGATGAATCATGGTTTGTCATTCATCACGCCAATGGCCGTTCCAGGTTACTCCGTCAACCAGGCGAACAGTTGCTCCCTCAATGTACAGTAGGTCATACACAGGCCGGTGGTGGCGGTATTATGCTTTGGGGGACGTTCTCTTGGGTGTCTCTAGGACCCATGGCTGTGGTAGAGCAGACCATGAATGCTACAGGGTATCTGAACATTATTGCGGACCAGTTGCACCCTTACATAACCTCTGTTTTTCCAGCTGGAAATGGAATGTTCCAACAGGACAACACCCCGTGTCACAAGGCTAAAATTATGCTGGAGTGGTTCCAGGAACATGATGCTGAATTTCAGTTAATGTGCTGGCTTCCTAACTCACCGGATCTCAATCCGATAGAACACATTTGGGATGTCATGGGACGGCAGCTCAGAGTTCAAAGACCACCAATTCGCAATATCTCGGATTTGCGTGACCGTTGCTCAAACATCTGGTATAATCTGTCTCTCTCTCCGGCCATCTACCAAGGACTTGTGGCATCCATGCCAAGGCGGGTTGAAGCTGTGTCGCGCGCCAAAGGTGGGTGGGCCAACTCGTTATTGACAGGCAGTCATAATGTTTTGGCTCTTGAGTGTATGTGTTGAAAGAAATGTGATGAAGTATTTATTAACCTTTTAATGCCTTTCTAATTAGAAACAATTTTAAGTTCTTTTAGCGTACCATTTATGTAAGTTGTTGTGTTCGTATGCCATTATTTTAATTATAAATAGATCAACAAAAATAATAGAATTAATTATTTTTTATAGAGAAGGATACAATTCAAAAAGATTACGCAACTAATTAATGCAAATTAACAAATTGCGGGTAATTTTAACAAACTTAGAGATATTATATTTAATTAATACAAGTGATACAAATTTTGTTTGAGGCTATGCTACTATGCAACTTTAAATAATTAGTTCAATTAATTATGTTATTTATCTTTTTAATTTAGTAAAAAATATTTTAAAAATAGTAAAGTTTTAAATTATCTGTGGTAAATATCTTAATTTTTAAGACTAAGTGCATATGAAATGTGCGGTATGTGATTATAATTTTGAAAAAAATTAGAACACTGAATTGATTTTGAAGTAATAAAGTAAATAAGAAATTTTTTAATAGTATTAAAATTAAATTATTTAATGATGCGGTGTGGATGTTAGAAGTATAAAGTTCCAGCTCGAATGTCATCTCCGATCTCATTGGCGTGTGACGGGGCTATTCGCGAGATTTTCGAACTAATCCTCTTGGGAAACTTTGGGGCTAGCATTTATATTAA